TAGAAGATGATTCTTCGAATTTAGATGAAATGTCATTTGAATTAGAAGATAATACAAATTCTTCAAATAATTTTGTTGATTCCAATATTGATATTCTTAATGAATTTAAAAATATATTGCAATAATATAAAGAACTTTCTGAAGATATTTGTGATAATTCAGATTATTCTGTAGATATTCAAATTAATTCTGATAATGAAGAATTTAATCCTGTATATGATACTTTTCTAATGAAGCTTATGCCAATTTGATGGTTTTGGTTACAAAATATAAGCTAAGTAATGCAGCTGGAAATGCGATTATTTTATTTTTTAATAAGTATTCAAATCATTCGAAATTCCCATTACCAAAAAATATTACATAAGAAAAAAAAATTTATGAATAATATGAAAAGTAACTTAAAATATAAGAAAACTAAAGTATTTGAACATAATAATACTGAGTATTTCTTATACCATATGCCATTAATCAGCTGTATTAAGAACATTTTAGAAATACCTAATATATCACAAAATTTTGCACTTGAATTCAAAGAATTATATAAAATTTCTGAGGTAAATTTTAATTTTATTTATTAAAATAAATATTTATTTTTATTAATTATTATTTTTTTTAAAGAATGGTAAAGTAAATATTTATAAAGAGCAAAATAATGGAATATGATGGAAAACTACACAAAACTCTTTACCTACCAGTTCAAAAATTTTATCAATCATTTTATATTCAGATGCAACAAACTGTAATTCATTGGGAAAAAGTTAATTGCATCCAATTTATTTGTCACTTGGAAATATACCTACCTGGCGCAGGAATAAGCAGGATGCAAAGCAATTATTAGGCTATTTGCCAATAATAAACTCATCATCTAACTTGGATAAAAAAATGGTTAGACAAACATTTCATAAATGTTTAGAAACAATTTTAAAACCAATTCAATCATTTTCAGAAAACAGAATTAATTTGTTATTAGATAACAAATATATCTGGTTCTATCCAAAAATTTTAACAATAATCGCAAATTGGCCAGAAGCTGCAACATTTTGTCTAATGTATAAATTAGCAAGTTCTAATTATCCTTGTTATTTTTGTTTAATAGATAGGGATAATTTAGCAAATACGAATATTTCTAAACATGATTTGGAACTTAGAAATCATAAAAATATGCAAAATCTTTATAATAAGCAAAAAGCAAAATTAGTATATATAGAATCTGTATCTAATATATTTTGGCAATTTAAGTAAGTTTAAAATAATTTATAAGTTTATAATATCACAATTTTAATAATTTGATATTTTAAAATATTTTAATATATTTGAATAAATGCAAATATAATCGCATAAAATAATATATCTAGAAAAAATTAATGTTTTAAAATATTTTAACTAATTCAAAATGTTGCGAATTTATGCGTTTAATTTAATATATATAGAAATTTTATATAATTTAATAATACTTAATATAAAATTAACAAATTTTATTAATTTTAGAGATATTAATATTTATGAAGCTATGGTAATTGATAGAATGCATCATTTAGATTTAGGTTTATTTAACTATCAAATTACTTTTATATACGATCTTTTAAAAGACTTATATAGATTTACAATACTCGATAAAATGGATAATCGATTAGCTAATATTTTAAGATATTCAGAACTTAAGATTTTTAAGAATAGAATTCAGTCACTTTCTAGAATTACAGCTAAAGAATATCGTAATATTATGAAAGTTATAATTTTTGTTTTGGATGACCTAATTAGTGATGAAAAATTAAACAGAAAGTTGCTAAAAATTTACGAAGATTGGAATAATATGTATATAATGAGCCATTATGAAGAATTTGATAAAAATGATTTGAATAATTTTGAGGTATTTAAAATAATTTGAATATATTCGCATTAATTTATAATTTAATATTTATTATATTTATAAATAATTCACTTATATTCGCAATAATTTGAATTTATTAAACTTTAATAATTAATATTAAAATAATTTCATTTATTTAGATATTGATAACAAATTGAGCTCGACAATTTGTTAACATTTTTTAAAATTATTCATTATCAGAACTAAAATATCCAAAATTACATTAATAGATATACTATACGACCGATTTAATTAAAAAATATGGTTTTTTAAACAGATTTTTAACTAAAACCTATAAAAGTCTAGATAAAGATATTGTTAAAATACCATATTATTTAACAAATAAACAGAATGTAGAAATTCAAATAATGAAAATGGTAATTATTATTTGTTTTTTTCTAATAATATTTATAGTAGTTATAAAAAATAACAATTATTTTAAATTAAATAGGTTCAAAGACAGGCTATTGTAACAAAATTATTATCAAGCAAATCAATAAAAAGTATTAGCACTATTAATGCTTATAAATTTACAAATTTAATTTGAAAATTTAGTTTGAACAATGCACATGAATATATTGACCAACAGTTAAACTATTATTCTTCTAATTCTAAAATATATTTAGGATTTGAAAAATTTTTAAACTGTTTAAATTTATATTTTGATACAACAAATCAAACTAATTTAAACAATTATATAGTTAAAATATATAGTTCAATAACTTTAGAAAATGGTTCTATAATTAGAGCCACAGATAATTTTTATGGCAAAGCCTGATATAGCAATGTATCAGTTGCTATGAATTCTGATGAACTATTAGAATATTTATCAGATCAAAGAATTTGTTATAGACAGGTATTTGTTGTATTTTAATTTTTTAAATATTTTAAAATATTAAATTTTAAATATTTCATTTTTAGATATATTTATTAATCAAAGTTGAAACTACTGAAGTGAATCTGTATAACCTCGCATTAATTCAGTAGTATGATTTTAAGTCTACAAAGAATCCATATTATTATGGTTGTCTCAGACTTAAATTAACAGAATTATATAACATTATTAATATTGAAGCAATTAGAAATCAAGTTCATATAATTCTCTACTTTGACAAAAATAATGATTATTTAGTAAATAAATATAAGGTAAGTATGGGTATTATGGCGCACTACTAATTATGGTGCAATTGTGATATCTCATGATCTACTGATCGGAATTATACAATTTTGGTACCAATCGATCGGTCTTAGTAAGACGAATCGATTGGTATCAAAATTATGCATTTCCGATCATTAGATTACGAGATACCATCATCAAAGTAATAGTTATTAATAGCATTTTTCAAAGAAAATCATTTGCATTCGTAAAATGATTTTTTAAAACAATTACTATATAATGCTTATAATTTATATTTATTGGGAGAGACTAGGCTAACTGTAACGCATTATAAACATGTTATATAATTTGAATTAGAGCGATTTTGAAGTGTATTTGTAGAATTTATTAGCGATTGATTGCACAATCGAGTGTAATGGTATGAGTGTAGATGCGGCAGATGTTTTGAACTATATTGCAGTGTTTATTCCAATCAATATTTTGGATTGTACAATCAAGTGTAACTAGCAGTTTATAAATGTATAGAAATAGCGAATATTTTGTGCTGTTTTTAACTATAGTTTACTTTGTCATGCGATATAACAATTACTGTATTAAAATTTAAATTTTACAAAAAAAAAAAAAACTCCAAATTATGGTGCATAAAAAAGATAAAAAAGATAAAACTACACAAAATGGTGCGGTTAAAGAGGCTCTTAAGTTTATAAAAGACTCCTTAAATGACCCTAAACCCTCAAGTAAAAGGAGTATTGCACGAGACTTTGGTATTCCGGAATCAACCCTTAGACATGCTATTCTGAATAGTGGCCCTCTTAACTGTCCAGAACCTAACAAAGTTTTAACTGACCATGAAGAAGAGCAGTTAGTTGGTTATTGCTTGAACATGCAGCGAATTGGTTTCGGATTATCAAAGTCTGGTGTAAATTTTTGCGTACTAAAAATAATTTGTAAAAATGGGCACCCTCATTCTTTTAATGAGAGCGGACCAGATCAATCATGATGGTAGCAATTCCTAAGAGATCATCCTGAACTTTCATTTCGCATTCTGCAAGCTCTAAATGAAGCATGGGTCCAAAAAGCAAATCCTATAATAATTAATGACCATTTTAACAAACTTAAAAAAATCATTGATGAATATTTGCTTACTCCAGATCAAATCTGGAACATGGACGAGACAGGTGTTCTTTTTTTTTTTTCTTTTCATTTTTTTTTTCTTCATTTTTTTGACTTTTATATATAACCGGATCGTTACAGGTGGTATACGTTAGGTTTTGTCATTGAACCTCAACTTCAAAAAGTAATTGCAAAAAAAGGAGCACATCAAATTTATCGTGTTTTATATAGCAGTAATCATGAACACATATCTGTATGCCTAACTATATCAGCTGCCGGAATATACATACCACCATTAATAATATACAAGGGCAAACAAATGATTCTGGGTCTTCTGGATGGCGTACCTGCTGGCACTGTTATGGGGTTTACCAATACAAGGTATATGCAGAAGTGCTTATTTAAAAAATATATAGAGCATTTCGTTAAATCTATTCCTCCTGCTTGTCCTGTTTTACTCATTCTTGATAGCCACAAGAGCCACGTTAATTACACTTGTGTTAATTTTTGTTATGAAAATAATATTCTTCTTTACGCCCTTCCACCACATACCACCTATATCCTACAACCTGCTGAATTACCCTTCACTCATCTCAAAATGCATATAGCAGTGAATGTGACAAGTATCATACTAATAGCAACGACAAATTAGTTACAAAATATACGTTTACTAAAATCTTTGGACAGGCCTATATTAAAGCATTCACCCACTGCAATATGTAATTTTTTCAAGGCAACGGGAATATGGCCCTTCAATTCCAAAGCTATTGATCCTAACTGTCTAGAGCCTTTAATGCCAACACAAAGATTCAATCTACAAAGTTCTGAACAACCCACTTATCCACCTGTTATACTAACTTCCTCTTCATCTAGCTTTGTTTCAAGTTACCTCAGCCCAACTTCTACAAATGAAGAATTATGGTCAGAAATAAAAACAATTAATAATAAGGTTGAACGTTTGGAATCAAAATTAGGACTCTATAAAAATCTCAGTACCAGTCCTTTGCGATTGGTGCTCAAGTACCCTTTGCATCATCATTCAAAGCAGATTGAAGAACTGGTAGTAGATGAAGGCCAACCTGAAAACCAGCAGCCAAAAAAAAATGAAAGACCATGCCCTTCTCTCAGCTTCTCACTGACGAAGAGTCGTTGTATTTGTTGAGAGAAGCAGAGGAAGAAGCAGAAAAAGTAACTAACGAAAAGAAGCAAAAAAAAGAGTTGGCCACTCAACAACGAATTGTGCAGAAGACTGAAAAAGCACAAAAGCAAGAAATTTATAAGCAAAAGAAGGAAAAAAAAGAACATATGAAAAGGGAACAGCAACGTATTAGAGAAAAAAAATGGGTTAAAAAAAAAATGTGTAAAGAAAAGTGGTACTATCTAATTATATGTCTTGCATCATTTTTGGTCGTTATCTTGACGATCTTGATTTTCTGTAGAAGTTTTATATATTTAGAAAAAAAATTTTATTTAATAAATAAAAATTTTTTTTAAATAAAAAAAACTTATTTTGAATTAATATAAATCTATTTTGGTAAAATTTAATGAATCTTCGAGTTAATTTAATAAAGTTTTCCTAGTGGTATATTTAACTGCGCCATAATACTCATACTTATCTTATTTTTTAATAAAAATAATAAAATTTTTTAAAAAATTCAAATATATTTAAATAATCACAAATATTATATATTTAGAATATATAAAACAAATTCTATTTAATCATAATTATTCATATTAAATTAGAAATAATTTTATTATGACGATACTATTTTATAATAAAATAAAGTTTTAAAATAATTTCGAAAATATTCGAAATATTTATAATAAATATTATTATATTCTATAATGAAAGTATATAACGTATACTTGTTTAAAATAGAAGAATTGTATATATTAAAAAAAACAAATATATTCGCAATAATTTAAATATTATAAAAATTATATTTATTTATTTAACATATTATTAAAATAATTAAAAATTAATAAATTAACTAAATAAAAATATATATAATTATAAAATATAAAAATAAAATAAAAATTATACAAATTTAAAAAAAATTTAAGCTCTATATCCGCCATCAGAATGTGAATGGTCAGATTCTATATTTACAGGATCTTGAGGATTTTCAGGATTAGGATCTTGAGGTAACTCTTGACTAGGCCCAGGTCTTGAACCACTAGGCCTAGGTCTTGCACTTGTATTCGAACCAAAACCTCCTCCTCGTGGTTCTTCTTGAGGAACTGGTACATCTGATGCAAAATCATGTCTCAGCCTTTTGTCTCTCTAAAATAATTAAAATTTTGTTAATATAATTTTTTATAATGATTTATTATAATAATTTATTTTATTTACTCGAGTTGAATGCACAGTTCTTCGCTTATTACCTCTTCTGCATGGCTATTAAAGATTAATTTAAGATAATAAAAAATTAAAATAACAAATATCTACAAAAAATACTTACTTGATTGCCTTCCTCTTCTGAACTAGTAACTTCTTCTGTAGTTGGTGGCAAAAATACATTACCTCTTTTGAGTTTTCTCTATAAAGTAAAGATTAGTATAAAATTAGTAAAGGTTAGAATTATTATTTAATTTTTTTTAATTTATTAGATTTAATTCTATTTTAAAATTATAAAAATTATAACTTATTATTTAAATTTTACTTACAAGATTTTTATTAAGACGACTTTTACTCAATTGTTCAGACAGCATAATTTTATCATAATGCGGGCTTAGCATTATTCCACAAACTGAAATTGTATATGCTGTCTGAATTGCGGTTGTTTCAGCACCAGGCCAAAGTTTTTCTAGTATTTTTTCTATATATGAAGGAGATTCGGTGTCGCTTGGGTCAATTTTAGTAAAAAGCTTCCTATCAGAAGCTTTTCATGACGCAACATTCGCAGGAGAAGAATTTGTATTAATGAAATCTAATTGTCTTATGCCAAAATAGAAAATATTGCATCTTTTATCTTCGTTGTTAATGCACTTCTATACGTTCTAAATTGTCTTAATAGCTAAAAATTTATGATAAAATTAGACAATAAAATATTTTTAAATATATTTGTATTTTTATAAATTAATTCTATTTTTTTTTTTTTTTTTTTTTTAAGGTGAGGCCTTGCTCATATCTTTATTAATAATTTTATTGGGTAATAGTAACCACTAGTTGAGTAATCAACTAGTGTAAATGTTACTACAATTCGTAAGAATACAAATAAAAATAAAATTATACAGCAAGAATAAAAGCTCAGACTAATTTATCTGCGACCTAAACCTACTAGAGTGGTCCTAAGCTCACCTAGATTATAATAAAGGAAATATAATTTATTGAAGTACCATATTTGATCCAGTGAACAGACCAAACATTATATTTTCTTCTAGCCTGGCCAACAGGTGAACAGGTATTGGAATAGATGTGTAGTTGATCTGGTTCGCCACATATACAAGAATAAGTATATACTGTATGGGTGCGTTGAGTTGAGATGGTAGATTGTGTTGAACTTGATGAATCAGATTGTTGTTCAAGGCTGGAGGGTTCAGGTAGTGTAGAAGGGCTTGGATCATTAGAGTATAGATAGTTAAGTTTGTTAATTTTTCTCCAGTTAGAAAAGTTGGAACAATAGAGTTTCTATAATTGTTCATATAATTGTTCATTTATTTTAAGTAATATATTGATTACTGCTTGAGATGCAGTCTTGTAAGAAATATTATAATTTTGAATAGTTTGAATTAAAGATGTAGGAATTATAAACTCTTTCCCGTAGATCTCAATTTTAATAGAAAATAAAAATCGATACAACAAAAATTCTAAAAGCAAGTAAATAAGTAACTAAATACATAGTCAAGAAGACAAACAATATCTTTACACCACCAGTACACACTCTTAAGTAATCAAAATCAAGAGAAAACAGAACAGCAAGAACCACCCAACCGACAACAAAGAAAACATCTGGCCTAGGGGCCGTTTCGTACCTTTTACCCTTACTATCCAACCTCAACTCCAAATGAGTGAACACAACAATAGTAATTGAAACAAAAAGGGCAAAAAGACTGCTTCAGTTAAACTAGACTCCACTTACACTGACACAAACTCCAAGAGATGACGCACTCTTCTCCCAAGACCACACTCAAACACCAAAAGTGGACAATCCAGCTTACCCCCTCCAAAAACCACTATGACATCATCACACTATAACAACAACAACAACCAACTCGTCCAAACAGGTTTTAACAACATCCAAACAGAGTCCCCGGGAAAAAACAACAACACAACAATTATTTCTCACAACAACAACCCCAATATTACCATATTAGGCAATACACTTCACCCCAACAACGATACTATTTTTAGACCCCCGATCAACAACAACAATACTGCAACAACAACACACAACACGGGACCTGCAGCAGGCTCTTCCTAGCCCAATCCAGACATCACCAAACAGAAATACCTTGTAGATACTGAAATGGCTACCCCTATTACTGAATTAGAAAATACACAAACTGACAACAAAATGGAAACTGACACAGCCTCAACTATATTTGCA